AATTATAATGGATTATTAGAGAATACATTTTGAAATAGTAAATTATGTTGGTAAATATATGTGATTATAATTAATTCTTATATCGAAAGAAATATAAAAAATATATTTGAAATTAATGAGGCCTTTTATTTTAGGTTTGAATTCTTAACATTATATGACTTATATGTTCATTACATAAATTATTTCTTAATTAACTACTAAAATTATGGATATCAAATAATCAATTCTTCTAAAATATAGTTCTTATTTATATTGTTTATATATAGTATTTAAAATTAATAATTGAATTTATTCAAAGTGATTTAAGATAATTGAATTGTAACATAATTACAAAAGGTAATAATATTTGATATTTATAAGAAATAAATAGACCTAATTTAGTCAAATAAATATCTTTTAAATTAATAAAATTTATATGAAAATAAATCAAAATAATTAATACAGAACATATGGTGATTGTTTAAGACCATCCACATGTGAAAAGTATAGATCATCCACATTAGATTTTTTTTCTTTTCTATTGAAAACTTTGACTTTTATATATTTATATAATTTGAAACTTCTTTTTTTGTCAATTAAAATTTGATTTTTGTAGGAATATTTTAAAAATAAAATCATTAATGCATCAAGCTGATATGAAAAAGTGTACCTTTAAAATCATTCGGAAAAAAAATTAAATTAGGCAGCAAAATCTGAAAATACCCATGACTGTAAAAAAAAAAAAAGATGCTTTTACTCAAGGAAAATTTTCAATCTTATTTTTATGAGAAATTAAATTATATAACAATGATATCCAACGGCTAAGGCATATTGTTTCTCAAACTCTGGATATAATAGTCAAAAATTAAGGATTTTATAGGTTAATTTTAACTGGCACATTAGTACATATAGAGCTTCTACTATAATGACCATTATTTATATGTCACTTGCGTATCTGGGATTGTGAAAAATGCTTTATATATATATATATATATATATATATATATATTCATCTTGAGAAGGTTACACGACAAGAAGAGTCGATAGTGAAAAGCAAAAGCCTACCTATTTTTGCAAACTATATTGTTTTTCATCATTTATCAAAATAAATGCATTAGTCGAGACTCACCCCTTTTTGTACCAATGCCTACTTCTCCATGAATTGCTTTGTCTATTCCTCCTTGTGAAACATGTTTAATTAGACTGATTTCAATTGATTAATGTTAGCTACGCCATAACTTTCACTATAATTCATTGTAATTAACCAACTTTCCTATGTTGACACCTCAGCTTATATGTAAACATCGGTGGATACTAAAAAATTGTTATAAAATTAATGATCTGTGAACACAAATTAAAAGAATCAAGTCTTCTAATTACAATTGTCATCGTAGGATTCTCAGTTTTAATGTAGCTGAATTCATAATAAAGTTTGATTAAGTTAATTATTCATAGATACCAACAGATTTAGTATAATTGTACCCCTATCATTATCTAGGTGCTGAACCGGTATATTCAGAGAAAAATAGATGTTGGTCAAAAGGAGATAAATTAGGCCTAAGTTCCCATTGAGCTAATTTTGGACGCCAAGTATCACAAGGAGGAAAACAACACAATTTTCGAACCCTTAATCTGTTTTAAGTTAAATACTTTGCTAAAATGAAGAGCTATCCGATTAAAATATCGATCAATAAAACAAACCTATATTCTTACATACATGCAAAGAATAGTGGTGGTCAAAAATTTCAAATTCTCTTTCAAATATTGTAGTAAAGACCCATATTTTGATTTTACTAAAATTGATCTAGATTTTATACTACTTGAAGAAATGTGATGAATTTTCAGATGGAGGGTCTTATATTTGATTGGAAAATGGTTATGAATTTGCCAACTAACCTAGGTATATAATTCATCATAATTTTTCCCTGGAAAGGGATAGAAAGAAACCTTGCCCAAGAAAGTTATGTGATGTGGTTAGGACTTTCTTCTAGAGGAATTATAATTATGAATTAATGATAGTACACATAGCACGATACGTATTGATTTCATCTAAATCAAAAAATAATATATATGTATATGTGTGTATATATATATATATATATATATATACTTTCTCCACGCCGTCTCTTGTTTAATAATTTGATTTACTTTTGAATTTCGAAAATAATACAGAAATGAAAATTAGGGTATTCAATTTAAGACAAAACTTATTGCTATGTTTTGGGAGATCGAGGAAAGAAATCGTACTACACTCTAGCAGGGGGATTTTCTTTTCATTATAAACTGTACTAAGGTGCAAAGACAAAAGAAAATTCATCTTCTCAACTGCCTCGCCCTTGTTTAGTAGAAAATGTAAGCGTCATGATTGTCCTTGATATAATATATTTAATAGAAAGAAAACCGACTCTATTTGCGATTTAAATAATGATGTAGAATATTGTAAAAATGCTTTAGATAGAAGATGAACAATATAATTTTCCAAGATTTTTTTCAGTCATCTATTTTGAAGGCACACAATTAAAAACTCCATGTGATCTATCGTGGAAATTGCCAAATAACATGAACAAAGATTGAATTTCAAATAAATAGATAAATAAAACACCCAGCACAAATGGGTGCCCCAGTTGTAACCCAAAAGATCAAAAAAAAAAAAAAAAAAAATACGGATATAATCACCATTTCATGTCCTTAATCATTGTCTTCTTTAACATCACATTTTCTACCAATCAGCACAACAATTATTCATATTCATCCAAATCAATTGATTACTTTTTGACTATAGCAAACAAAGAATCAAATTTTTTATATGTTTGAAACTTATTTCGATATAATTGATTTCTACGAATTTACCTTGACAGATTAGAGAAAGGGTCGACTTAGAACAAAACATACCTAAAATTATGTCTAATTAAATAATACTTAATCCTAACAGCCTGAATTCAAGTAAAATTTAGATTTTTATAGAATGTTGTAACAACTGGGAATTTACTTGCAAAAGGTTATTTGTCATCAATTTCTTGTTGCCAATACCATTTAGCCTTTGTTTTGATGCTTATTAATGAGTATTCCAATATCATCCGTAGTAAGAAAAAAGGAGAATGAATAGAGTAATAAAAGATAAAGGTCAATAAATCCAGAACTTATTTAAGTTATTTTATACAACTACTCTTAGCATTTAATATGTTTTGAATCAACATCTGTAATCTTTATCTTTATCTTTAACTCACGAATTTATTTATACCAAAAAAAGATAAAGGCCAGCCTTTCATTCCAAGCCAGTCTTGTCCCCCTTCTTTCATGTTACCAAAAAAAAACTGTCTGATTAATTTGGAAAGAGCATGCATTTGTACTAGGTGACCCCAATTCAATCATAGCAAAGCCTTGATTAAAAATTCTTTTGACTCTTTCATCGATGATCATTGCTAATCATTTCTCTGTTGATCTATGCTTGAAATATATTATTATCTCGTTACTTAGAATAATATATAATTCTTTTAACCCACTAATGAACATTAATAATCTAGCTCAAAAGTAAATTGTTTTAAGCACCTCTGCTTTAATATATGTTTACATTTTTCATGGTATGGTGGCCACTCTTGCCCAAAGATATGGCCATCCAATCGAGTCCAATCCAATAAAAGCTGAAAAAATAAAGGAAAATAAATAGATTTGCATTGAATTTTTCAGTTCATTAAGCTTGTTTCCATGAAAAATGAAAGAAATTCTGCAATTACTACTGTAATGTGGTCCCTCAAGAGGAATAATTACTTCATCTAGTTTTTGCTGTTTTCCATTGCTTAAATGCCACTCAATGCATGATTTCGCTTTTCAATAGTGTTATTTAGAGATAATTTGGCCTTTAACGTTAATTATTTTAATATGGTAATCAATACTAATTGTCTAGTTTTGGTGCATATTTAAATCATGATGATGTGCAAGAAATTTTAGAGTATTGATTATAATAAATAACATTGGTAACAAAAAAATAAACACAATAATAAGTAAGAAATAAAAGTACTCTTGATATGATTATAAGTGCAAAGAATTAATTTTTTTTTCATATTTAAAATTGTCAGGAATATAATTTTGATAAAAAAATATATTGTGACTGATGATAAAATATTGAGATTTCAGTTTGAAAATAGTATTCATTTTTCTTTTTTAGAAATACATGGTATTAGATATTAAATTTTAAAGTCATTTAAGATTAGTTAATGGTTCTTTACATCATGATGTTATTAAAACATAACATTTCAACCTAGTGATTAATTTATAAACTTGAATTTTAGGACTCTATTTCAACAAAAATGAGGTTGAATTTTTCAAGAATTGAAATGACTGTTTTTCTCACATTGCATGACTTTGAAAGGGGGCTTTATGGACTTGATTACATACAAAGCTTCAGCAGAGAACTTCAACAACAATCTTGCTCTAGAACAAATAAAAGTAATAATAATAATAATAACAACTTGAATAATTAAGATGATAGATGACACTCCATTTTCAACAGTTAAAAGTCTACTTTTAGCAGAGAATAACAAAGAATCTATGGTGGGACAGTTCTAAGAACCTTGCTGTCAATTTGTAAAAGAAAGAGAGAACATATGTGCAAGGGTTACAGTCTGCAAATTATAAGGGGTCTGTTTTACTGTTTGATCGGTGATCCAATCATGACCCACACACGATCACATCAAAACTTTCATATACAATCGCAACCGTCAGATAAGCTGACCTCATTATTAGTATTGTTATTGTTGTATCAACTATCCTCCGGAAAACTCCCAGTGAGTCTTAATTTTTTAAACCATTGCATTGCAACAATGGGATTGGATGGTCAGAAGTCGGAAAATTTTCAGCCACTATTTCAACAAGTTTGATCCTACATGAAGCTGATAAGTCCAAAGTGGGACCTGTCAAAATATGGGGTCCCACCAGCCTGCATGTGTGCCAAGTGTACAAGGCGGCCCCATCTCTGAAAAATGGACAGAGGTGGGGATCCCATTATAAGCCATACAGCCCTTACAGGTTGACACTGCAGATTTTAGCCTTTTGCCCACAAACCCTAACTGGGCCACCATGGTACTGCTCCCAACATTAAATTCACACCCTCAGTGTACTCTCATCAGTTTCCCAAATCACCCTCAGTTCAAAGTTTTTCACATTTTCTTGTAAACCAACTTCTAGGGCTTAGGTCTGATCTTCATCGTAGAAATTAAAACTACTCTCTCTCTCCATTTCTGATCTGCTTTTCTTTTTCTCTTTTAAAATAAACAATTCTCAGGACTGATTCTGGCCTGCCATTGGCTGCAATATTCTGGGAGAGAGAGAAAAGATGGGGCACCATTCTTGTTGCAACAAGCAGAAGGTGAAGAGAGGGCTATGGTCACCAGAGGAAGATGAGAAACTCATTAACTACATTACAACCTATGGCCATGGTTGTTGGAGCTCAGTCCCTAAACTTGCAGGTTAATTTTTCCTCTCTCTGGATGGTTTCTTGATTCATAACCATCCTTCTTTTCCTAATTTTTTCTTCTTTACCATCTCAAATTGTACTAGCTTTTCTAACCATTTTTCTTTTGCAGACTAACTGAAAAAAATACAAACTACATTTGATTCCTGTTTATTTCTTTTTTATTGTTATTGTTCCTTTTTGGGTTGTTTCATGATGCAGGCCTGCAAAGATGTGGAAAGAGCTGCAGATTAAGATGGATAAATTACCTCAGACCTGACTTAAAACGTGGGAGTTTCTCTCCACAAGAAGCAGCTCTCATCATTGAACTCCATAGTATTCTAGGCAACAGGTACCTAATTCAACTATTTTTCATTATTATCCTTACTAGTTTTATGAAAATTTAGTTAGCCATCATCATAGCAATCATCAGTGTCTTTTTTTTTTCTAATTATCATTTTATCAAGTATCGACACATTTGTTGTTTTTCACATTTTCTTAAACAGATGGGCACAGATAGCAAAACATCTACCAGGGAGAACAGATAATGAGGTGAAGAACTTTTGGAATTCAAGTATAAAAAAGAAGATCATCTCTCATGATGTTCCAGCTTTAGCCTCTTTCGCTGATGTTCACAGTTCTACACCTCTAGAGGAAGGTTTCATCTCTCTAAATACAAACCCTAATTTGATCCTTAGTGCTCAACAAGACCAGCTCTATCTTTCCCCCGCAGCACCAGTGCTACAAAGTTTTGCACATGTAGATTTCAAGCCAAATCCGAACAATTACAACATTGATTTGGTTCATCATCATTTCCCATTAACTGCAATGCTCCCACCCCCTTCAAATACATCTCCCTTCGACCCCTCATTGCCATTGCCCTTTGTACCTCAACATGATTTTGATCATCAAAATCAAGAAGATCACGTCCAAATTATCAGCAATGAAGTAGTTCAAAATTTTGTTAGTGACAAGCTTATTATGAATCCAGCCACTGCGGTAGATCCTTATGACCATCCGTTAATGGACCCTTCAACAGTGCCCAAACTCTGTGAAATCCTTGAAGGAAACATCAACATGCCGCCAACATCTGTTTCACTAGAAAATTTCAATCCAGTAGTCGCCAGGCTTTCGTCATGTTTTCAATTATCAGCTGGTTCAACCTATGCACGTGACATACAAATGGCAACAAGCCAGATGGAGTGTATTGATACCATCATCACATCAATGCCATCATCTTCATCATCATCATCCTTATCAGCATTATCCAGCGGGCAATATAATACAAACCCTAATCTTCCTTCACGCAGCTGGGACCCTTAGGCATGGCGGATTCATAATTGGGAGTGGATTTAGCTAGGTATTTGTCTACGGGCTAGCTCATTCGATACGAAAGCAATTATTTTCTTGAAATATAAATATTATATGTGCAAAAGATATATATATATATATATTAAGTGTTTCTAGTTCAAATATATATTAAGGATATTGCCGTCTGATGATATTCCATAAATAAATGTAGTTTCGTAATTTCACATGTTACTCGTCCAAAAGATATTTGTATACCACTTTATATATATTTCTCTAATGAGCTGCTTTATATTTGTATGTTATTTTCTCTATATATCATATGTAGGTGGGGGACATTAAAACAATGGGAAATTTCATATACATAAATTTTTATATTTAGGAATTGCTGACAATACTGAAGATTAATGTGTAGACTAACATATATATTCTTTTAAAACAAAAGGCTAACTTTCACCTTTTTGTATCCCCGACTTTTAGTCAACGTGGATCGTTTTCATTTCATCGTCAAATTTTGTGGTTTGGTATTGTAATGCAGCCAATGGGTCAGTATCCCATGATTATGAAGTATGTTGGTTCCGAGATACCAGCTACATGTTGTTTATGCCCCCAGGAAATCCGTTACAATGTTGGTAGTACTATTTACATATATACTAATAATTCCCAGCATTTAATAGTTTTCTTTCTATATGCATTGTGGGAAAATTTTTCTTAAAAATAGAAGCTAAATCAATTACTAGTCTTTTTTTATTATTATTATTTTTGTATTTTTGAAGATAATTATCAATCAAGTAGGTTAAAAGAATGAGGACAAAGCAAGAGCAGGCCAACTTCGCTAGTGATACGGCACGTCATCAATGCTTGACACAGGTAGTAAACTGGAAATCGAACGCAGCCGGTTGGGTCCCAAAAGATAAGGCCTTTAAGGCTTTAACTGCAGCCTAATGTTAATGGCTCTTAGCAGTTAAAATTAGAAAGCGGAAGCAACAGACCAGACAGATTTCGCTTTGCTTGACTTGCATCTGACAATGAAACCCAGATAACTCCATTGTATGCCTAAAGGGGCCTTCAACTCCGCAACAGTACTACCACCTGGAGACCTTCTCCAAGAGCAATTACTATCAGTGCTTCCATTCATACGAACTGGAGAAGTGTTAAAAGGCAAAGGAATTGATTGATGCTAAGGCCTACGAACTTTATACACTAACTTGCAAACTTGGGAAAAGATTTACCCAATCGACAGCAGCCTTGGTTCTAGCTGATATGGCAGCAATCGAACACAGCATCTGCTACCACTTCTCATAGTACAGCAAGAAAAGTTTGCTCCAGATGACTACTAAGATTTGGCAAGAAATTCTGTGCAGTTCGTGATTTAGCTATTAAATTTGAACATTGTCAGCTTTTAGATACCAAGCATCCTGATTCTGAACCTTGCACTAGATCATGAGAATGAAGACCTAAGAAATAAAAACTACAATGATAGAATATTATTCAAATCATAATACTTCATCCAAGGGCTAACCAGCAGTTACACATGCATTTTGTAATTAGCATGCACAGAGAAGGTGCACAACCTTGTGGAATCAACAAAGGTTATTAGCAGTCTAACAGAATCTTTGACATCTGAATCAGACTCAAATTTTGAGTTGTTCCAAATAGCCAGACACATATCAAATGAAATGCAACTACATTCTAAATAATGAACTACAAGGATTTTCATAACTTTCTGAATAACAATTAATTCTTGCAAGTATTTATATGATAAAAAGAAAATCTAAAAGTCAACATACATGAAAGAACAATATTCCTTCAACGGTGTCATCAGGAAAGGCAGTGCCAACAGAATCAAGCAAAGGTGCCTTGAAATTGCTTAGTTATACCCTATTTCAGGCAACTTCTAGATTTGATTCTGATCAAAACATCACCAAAAAACCAGATGCTAAGCAGTAATTCTTGCACGACCCTTTGCTATTCTTCGAGCAATGACTCTTCGGCCACCCTTAGTCGCTTTGCTGTCCATGCATGAAATAGTAATTATACAAGTCTAAGCACCAAAGTGAGTTTGTTAAAGAAAACATAGGAAAATTCTTGAAGATAAAAAAAAAGGCTTGCCATCATGTAGCAGAGGGAACCATTTTAAAGAAGGCCTATTCAAGGTAATAATTAGCTTAATCAACAACAAATCTAGCCTTAATCTTAAACAAAGCTACTCAGATTGTTCAAATCAAACTATATTTCAAACGAAATCACCGACTACTATACTATACTGATACTGTGACTTTTGGCACACCAAAAGTTAATGATTCGCGTTAAGAGAAGAAGAGGTTTACCGAGCAAAATATCCATGATTCCTCTTGCGCTTGATGGTACTAGGTTGATATGTTCTTTTGGGGAATAAGAGCACTGGCTCACTAGATGAATCTCCTGAACAACAGAAGAAATACATAAAGTAATGTAAGCAGAAACAGAAACCACAAAAGGAAGCAAAATAAGATCAGTTAACAAATTCATCTCCGTGACGACTTCAAACTTTAATCAAAGGATTTTTCAAGCAAACCTTCATGAAGATGTTCCATTTGAAAACAATTAATAAAAACTTTTTTCCAGGATATGCCAAAAATTGAAAGGAGTTGCCAATACATAAACTAGAATCTGAACAACATAGGAATTAAATTGAATAATAACCTGTTGACTATGGAAACAATTATGATATCAACTAAAAACATTAACTTACAAAAAAATAAAAATTTATCAAGAAATACTAAAACCTAAGATTGAAAGCAGTAGAACTACTATTGCGTCACATGGTTTCAAAACAATCAAACAGAGAGAGAGAGAGAGAGAGAGTACCGTCGGGCAGGAAGAAGCGGAGAGAAGGAAGGCCAGTGGGATAGAGAAACCCGAGAGAGGAGACTTTAGAGAGGGAATCGGCGTCGTTTGGGGGCAAATGGAGAGCAGGTTTCGGCTTCGAGAGAGACGGGAACAGCTGAGGAGTGATTTGAAAGCCTTGATTGGCGACTCGGTGGTTAGAAATCGGATTCGGATTGAGAACTGGATTCGCTATCAGCCGGTTCATCAGCAAAGCTCCGGTTCTAATTACGGATTTAGTCGCCATTCTTTTTTCTTTCTTTTTTTTTCCGTTGAAGAGCTGGTTTTTGCTAAACCCTACAGAGTAGAGAGCCGGCAGTGAAGAGCGAGGAAATGGGTAAGAGGAAGACGAGTTTGTTAATGTTAATGGGCCAACCTGTTAAGGCCCAAGAAAGTTGATTAGGCCTTTAATTAAGGCCAGCCCTACCCCACCACTTTCACTATTTGTAAAATAAATAAACAAAATTTTGCAATTTTTTTAAATAAAATAAAATTAAAATCTTAAGAGATTATTCCCCCTAGTAAGAGAAATAACTCCTTTTTATTTTTTTATCAAATCAGGCAGAGTTTGATTCTTGCAAAAAATACTTAAAATTAAAATTTTAAATACATCAAACTAATGTGATTAAATCCAAATCTGACCCTATTCGAAAATTTTTTTGATTTTTCATATTTGACCCTACCAGATTCGAAATTAATAAAATATTATTTTTTAAATATAAATATTTAAAAATATCATTATATAAATATATATAATAAAAAATTAAATAATTAATTAAAAAATAATTTTTTATATAATATCAGGTCGGATCGAGTTTTAAGCAAACTCGACCCCGACCCGACCCCAAAACCCGAATTTCAAAAAAAAAAATTAACCCCGTAGAGTCGGGTCGAACCGAAACCCGTAGAAAACAGGTTAGCTCACCATCCTTAAATGCACCATTAATATGGTTCAAAGAGAATTTAATTCAAATAAAACTGAAAATTACAGAAAATAAGTTTCGTGAAATGAAAGTTAGAAAAATAACTTTTCCTTAATGGCCAATGATTTATAAAAGGTTAATTCAATAAATTCAAAATCATCCTAATAAATCGTAAATTTAAGCTATGTTTACTATGTATTTTTACTTCTTCTTGGTGCCAAATAAATGAATGGAAATATTAAAAAATTAAAATAAATAAAAAAGGAAAGACAAATAACAACAACATTTACCAGTCAAAGCCCTTAGAGAATTAAAGGCTTATGATAATATTGCTCAAAAATTGGTCAACCACAAAGGTAAACTTTAAAAAAAATCATTAATAATAAACACCATCTAAGAAAATAATGACCAGATTACATACAAATCCAAATAAAAAATTTTTTAAAATGAAAGATAAAAAAAAAAAAAAGTGATCAGAAACAAAAAAAAAAAAATTTGCAGGAAGCACAAGGTCATATAATGTACAGTTACACCAGGCTATATCCTTTGTATCAACAGCTGAAACAAACGGAGACACATCAACTTAATGATACTTTAGAACCCCCTTTGAAAAATGAAGAGGGAAGATACAAAACAAAGAAGAAAAAGAAAAGTAACAATAAAGCACAAATCAATTGATCACTAAACGTAATGGCTCCTGCAGTTGTGTTCAAATGACTTTCAGATTTCATGGTGGTCCCAAGGTTCTATTGCTCCCCATGAAGCGCACCGCAGATCCAATCCGATGCAGCCGTCTGAATGTCCGACTCAATTTGTGGAGAAAGTGATAGAGGAGTTACTGTAATCTATCATTTCAAGCAAAAATGGAAGAACCAAATCAACCAACTATTCAAGACAAAGTAACATATTGGAACCATATTGTATTACATAAGTCATGTTCATGACCACAATTTCTGGGAAAAAAAACAGCGTTTCAACTTACAAATCCGTTGTCAAGTGCCCTGAAATCCAAATCCTCATCTGTGTCTTCCTGCTTTTTATCTACAAACTGCAAATTATTATAATGGTATCAACTGTAGTTATTCATAACCAAAATAAAGCATTAATGGATATGGAAAAGGATTGATGAAAGAGCAAGCAAAAATTAGTATAAACAAAAAGCTATGGTTTTTGAAGCTTTTGAGATGCATATGCAACCTGTTTGAGATAACTGAACTTTCCCTTTTATAGATTTCTAAGTAGGAAAACACTGATTCTATGGAAATGCTCAAATATGTTACTGAAATCAGAAAATATTTGAAAAGCAAAGATGACAAAGAAAAAGATTGTCATTCTCGGCTTCACAACTATAAGAGCAATTAGGGTTTTATGGCAATTAAGAACTTTTAGATTTCTTAGTTGGAAGTTTACATACCTCCAGTCGAAAGTACTTTTTCAGTTTATTTGTATCAGATTTAGCAGCCCCAACGGACTCTACCTCCACATTCTTCCTTTGTGTGGTCAGGTGGCGAGCGGCACCCTAAGGAAAGTATGCATACATTATCAAAGAGTGAATAGTAACAAAGAGATTAATATGAATAAATGCAGACATGAAACTGAGGTGTCAAGGAAGGGCGAGTAAATGATAAAATTCCTATCAATAAGAAAAAAAAAAAAAAAAAAAACTTACAGCAGCTGATGCATCTCGGCTAAGCTGTGCAAGTTGGAGCCCAAGGCTTTGTTGATTAGACATGTAATGTGCAGCAGAAGGATGCCGATTAGCTGAAACAGCTTGCCAACTTGGTGCAGATCTCCACATACTTTGCTTGGTCAATCTAAAACCCTGTCACATATGAATAACCAAGGAGGAGACTAGATAAGATTACATAATGAATAGAAAGAAATATAGCAGTACATATTGTTGTCTAATATCAAGAGATCCAAAACTTTAAGCATTCTAGGAGGATTTGCAGCATTGCCTCTCTTTTTATGCAAAGTATACAGCAAAGATGAAACAATAACTACACATAAAAGCAAGAGAGGGGGAGGGAGCATGTGGCTGATGTAAGAAAAATGATAGATTGTACTTGAAGAAAAAGGATACACTAATTGTGACAGTAATTTTCATGTAAAACACAATACAAATACACGAATTTTAGTATTATATAAAACACGAACACACGACTCACCAAGTTTAGAAGCAATGAAACTTCACCTATCCATTATAATTTAGAAAGTAAACCATTCTCTCATTGAAGTCTCTACATATAAGAAAATTAAAGGAAGAGATAAAGAGCTTCCATAAGGGATATTAATAAAAAAAATTCCAAGATCGTCCAATAATTTGAACCTGATAGTTCCCACACAAATTCATCCTATAACCTATAAACAAACAAATTAATATGAATAGATGAATCGATCTATTCCTCTAAGATATAAGAAAAGATCTTCCTCATTAAATCTAACAAAAGATTTTTTTTTTTTTATGACAAAAGCAAGCCTAAAATTTCACCTCGCCTAACATTAGAAGGACAACAGACAAACAGACAGTTGAAAAACAGGAAAACCCAACACCCACCCTAAGAAAATTATCATCACCACAAACTACAATTTTTTTCTCTAATAGAATGCGATTTGCCTTTAAATAGTTGTATATAAACAAGATTTGACGAGGATATATCAAGGAAGCAATGATACCCAAATATTCATCAGTAGATTCTTACCATAATTGAAAGACCAAAAGCACTTTATATATCATTTTAAACATGATAGACATCAGGATACATCACATCATTGTTATGGCAATCATATTTTATTTATGACCCTAAAATAAGGAATCCAAACCTTGTTTGCTGAAGGTGAAGTAGGAATTTCTATACTGAGAAAGCAACTTTTAGGGAAAACACCCTTTTCAATATCTCTGATGGCTGCATTTATTAAAGGTAAACAGACAGCAACTGCATCCTTAAAATCACTTTCTTGGCTTTCTTCTCTCTTCCTGCAATAGTATCCAACATTAAAAAAAAATTCAATTATGAAAAGGGAAAAGAAAATAGTAGAATCTAATCTCCATAAACAGGATTGTAAGTCACCAGTTCAGTGATATTGACAAAGATGGTACACCACAAATTAATGCTTCTCTAGCGCCAGCCACAACACCTGAATGAAACCTGGCGTATTGCACATCATAAATTTCTCCGCATCCAAAAGGAAGAGCAAATGATTGATGGTAAACTAACAAGATAAACCAACAATGACACATGCATGAAGCCATGTGAAGCTTTATCATCAGGAGATAAATATTCAAAGGTAAACTTATGGTATCTTTTCTAAAAATCAATTAAGAGTGTAGTAGTCCCACCTGTTAAAATCAAAGCAAAATTCAATTAATAATATTGTGCAGGCGAGTCAAAGACTTACATGTGATGACCACAGCTTGATCCCTGGTTGATTCCACTAATTGCCTGGAAATTACATCAAATATAGTAGTCAATAAATGCTTAAAAACAAAAATTATATTTTAGTTCATCGATAACAGGATGAAAGCCTAACCAGCAGAGGCTTTGACCATGAGAACAACGCCCCAGACAATGCTAAGGAGACACAATCCACAGGAGTCCCTGAAAGCAGAAAACCATCATTGAAGCCAATTATTATCAAAGCTAACTCAAAGTCTCAAATCCACATCAATTTTACACAAGCTTCCAATCATATATTGACGTATCTGAAAAAAGGGTAACAAATAACAGTCAGAAAATTTTCATTTTTAAAGCCAAATTTCATCATATAAATTATGGCTCGGACACACTGTGCTTGGCCTGGCTTATTACAATAATATGGTTTCATTCCCAATTAAAGAAAACTCACACCTGAGACTTCATATGCTGTGGCACCATCCATTTCTGCTGGAGTAACAGTAATTGTTTCTCGGACAGTCACGGAATGACCGGAAACAGATTTGTCCCTGAAGCAATCCATTCAGAAACTAATAAATCACAGAAAATTACCAAATTCAATAGCCAAAAAGGAAATTAGAAATTAAATAGTTTTAGACTCACTACATATAGAAATTAATTAAAAAAAGAAAAGCAAAACAACCAAATTTTGATCTAACCGATATTTCCAAATAAGAAACCTAAGACGCACACATAACAGAGGAGTTCTTATGAATGAAAATAATTGCATATTTGCCTATGCTGGTACCAAAGCCAATGAAGAAGAACAAATCATATTTGATAGACGATGAAAAAAAAAAGAAGAGACCCACATTTCCTGGTAAATAAACAATGAGAAGAAAACCAAAAGAAATTTAAAAATTCGAGAGGATGGACGTGAGCAAATGTAAAAATTACGACAAAACAAATCAGAAATCAAAAAATTTGAGATCTTTAAGGAAAAGAAAAAAAGACCCACGATTGAGGGGCGCAAACATGGACATTGTAGAGGCCTAAACGGACCAAAGCTTGAACGAGATAAACAAGGCCAAGGGAATCAATCCCTTCCGCATTGGTAACCAAGACAACAGGCTTGGAGCAGTCATTGTCATCAGGAGCGTTTTCATTACAAGTAGAAGCAGATGGCTCAGTAGAATCACCACCAACAGAATCATCCTTTTGTTGTTCATTGTTGTTGTTGTTTCCTCCTTTTCTGCTAAGAAGAACTTCTTGGAGATTGTTACCCAAGGCAGGAGGTAAAATGTTGTTCTTCACAGAAGTAGTCGTCATTTTCTCTTTCTAAATTAAAAATGATTGAATCAAAACCCTAAAGAAGATATTACAATAAATGGGAAAAGGGAGATGGAATGGATAGATAGATAAATGAGAGAAAGATAGATAGTCCGGGTCTAACGGAAGTTTGAGAAAGAGAGTGAAAAAAGGATTTTATGACGGAGAAAAAGCTTTCCAGATGAGACACAGAACACTTTTGATACGAGATTAATAATTAAGAAGGGAGAGAGGAAGGGATAGCGTTTGTCGAACAGCAGGATGGCGTCTTTTTTTTTTTTTTTAAATCTCTCCTAACAGCTTAGTTCCAGATTGGTCTTAAAAAAAACATCATGGTACTAAATCATGTCATGTTTTTTAGCTTAATATTTTTTCTTTTTTTTTTTATTATTTGATGCAAAATTTTTTATTTTATGATGTCCTTAGTATTTACAATTATTTCTTTAATTTTTTATTTTATTATTATTTCTAACAATTCAATTATTCCTTGACTTTTTATATTTATCGAAATGTGATATCAATGTTTGTACATGTTCTTTTATTTATTTTTACAAGTTTTAAAACAATATATTATCTAGTAAATATGGATTTGAAATGAGATGCCATAAGTTTTTTTTTAATATCTTATAATGTTATTAATCAAAATATTTATTTCTTGTTTAAAATTTCATATATATATATATATAAAGATCTATTTAAAGAGATGTAAAATTAATTAATTTAGTTTTATATCTTTTATAAGATTTTCTATATTATTAAATTTTATATTCGATTCACATAATCAAGGATATTAAATTTTAAATTAATTAAAAATATTTAATTATTTATTTGATAATAATAAATTTTAATTATAAAGATATAATTTTAAATTAAAATGATAAAAGTATAGAATTAACTCAAAATTTTATGTACATAATGAATATAAATAATTATTAAATTTAATGATCGATTTATAAAAATATTAATTATATATAAAATTATAAAAAAAAAACACATTAATATAAAAAGATGTGGCTCTATTAACAAATTCCAAGTGTATAAGATAAGTCCTTTTTCTATTGTTGATTTAAAAGGTACCTTTTTTTAATTATGTCGTATTTTATATATTGTATCTTTTCATGAAATTTTGAATTTATTATTTAAGGTATATATATAAGCTCATAAAGTAACCATGAAATTGTTTTTTTATAAAGTATATCTATTGATTTAGTTGGAGTTTATCAATTAATATATAGAATAATATCGTATCTTCAACTGCTTGATTTAATGATTAATATAATCTTAAAAGAAAATATCAAGATTGAGATTCAACCCTTAACTTTTCTTATTTTCCCTTAATATAGGGTTTTATCTTTATTGAATGACAAAAAAAAAAATAAAGTAATATTATTGTTTTTATGGATTAAATATTTTTTTAATCTTTTTTTCTGTTTATTTATTTATTTTGGGTACCTTGATTGATTTCCAAGGCTAGCTCTTGATCCGTCTTTGGTTTAAATATAATTGAGAGACATCCTATAGGCTTACTTAAGAAAGGGGTTAGAATTTAAAAGAAGCATCATCAGCAGAGAGACGGGAGATCGCTGATGATCAGCATTTTACGTGAAAGCATATGCTTGCTTGCTATAACTACAATTGTTATATTAGGCTTAGTTAGGTTAACTTATCAAATATAATTTACTTAAATTACATTATGTAATTTACTTAAAATAACGTCAGTCTCCACAAATCAGAATTATTTGAAGTATCAATTATATATTTCTTGCTCTCTTATAAGATCGACTTTTACAAGTAACTTAATTAAGTGCAACGCATTTGTAGGAAACTTAAAAGGTGAGAAAGATTCCAATCTATGACCTTTCCTAAACCATTTAACCGCTAAGTTAGCTCTTATCAGCACTTGCTAATATCGTACTGTCGAGGCTTGGCCCTTAATCAACCATTTACTTAGGATAAATTTTATATAAAATTCTCTAAGTGAAATTTATAAAAAGATTTTAAAATAATTTAATAAAAAATTCAAATATATAAATTAATAAAATTTAAAGTAAAAATAAATAATATATAAAATTATTTAAAATATCATTTATAATTTAAATTTAATCGATAATTATTTAATAATAAAAATTTTATTAATATTTTTATTAAAAATATATATCAAATTTTATTTAAAATTTTTAAATTTTATTTACTTAATTTATGTAATAAATTTTTTAATCTATCCATTTTAATCTTCAATTTTATTTTTTATTTAATTATTTTTAATAAAAAATTTTATCCAAACAAATTTTATTTAAACCTTTCCTCTCGTCCAAACAATATCCAGTCCCACTATAAAAAATATGGTTGGAACAGAAACACATCATTCTAAACCTTTCTTCCTGTCTTGCTTCTCTCACCTTCTTAACTTGCTGATTTAAGGGACGAAACTCTTTGGAAATCTCTGACAGACCAGGCCCTGACAATCTTTCCGCAAAGCAGTCAATCATTCTTTCAAAAAAAAAAAACCATCAAGAGATGACGCCATATGTGAGAAAGAAGATTCAAACTTACTTTTTTTAATAAAAAATTGTCTAAATCAAATAAAATGGTAAGCACAAAATATATATATTAATTAAAAATATATATAAAATTACAAAAGTATTACCTTTATAAATTGACCTGTCTTCATTTATATATATGGACAAGATCAACTTATATTAAAAATTTACGTATTTTTTTAATTATTTATTTTAATAAATTTAAAAAATGAAAAAGATAAATTATAAAACGATTTATTTAATTTTATTTTTTAAATTTATTAAAATTAATAATTAGATAAAAATATAAAACTAAAATATTTACACCGATTTAAGTTAAAATTTTCTCATTCATATATATATGCGCAGGAAAATTTTCTAGAAATTTATTTTTTACCTTTACTCTCCTGTAAAAAGAAAAAACTCCAAAGTCAGTTTTCTCTTTTTTAGTTGACAGAGTAGTATGAAATTTCTATGGGAGAAGGGATGATTTTGCATTGATCAGTTATTTGGTTCTGCACTTGTGCTATACTATGAAAGTTTATCACATTCAAATTTTTGATACAACAAAAACCATGAGGATTTATGTGAAAGTTTAGGCTGTGACTAGCTTGAATTGTTTCCCAGCTTCAATTAATCAATTGTTGATCTCCACAAACTTAAGAGGAATTTGCCTCCATGATAACAGGCTTGAGTTCAGATTTCTTGTTACAGAGATGTGGTGCCTATGTTTATCATTTGAGTTAAGCCTGTAAATTTGTGTTTGCGAGGTGCAACCGTGAAGGGTTTAGACTTTAGACCAAACAGAGTGTGCTGTCGTCTGTCAATATTATGAGTTTGTTTACTATAGCAAGACTAGCGTGTACCACTTATATACACGGTTAGAGCCGAGTTTGATTGGATTCAAATACTTGAGTTCAAAACTTAGTTGCAACTCGATCAATTTAACACATAATTTAATTAAACCGCTTGAATTTGATTTAGTAAATTCAATTAAATTTGATAAAATTATAAATATTAATGATGTATTTTATATATTTTATCATTTACTTATTTATTAAATTGAAATATATTTAATTATTAAAACTTCACAAGCTTATCAAATTAAATATTAAACTATTTGAATTCAACTTAACTTGTTATTTGAATAATTTAAACTCGTTTTAACAATAAATGAGACAAGTTTAAGTTTTTTTAACGAGTAACTTGACTGGTTCACAGCTCCAAGCTAGACTTTTGTCTTGAAAGAAGAACAATGTGGAAAAACTCTCTGATGTATATTCAAGCTCAAAATTTTGGTTGATGAATCCTTAACCTTAGCCCTTGGGATTCTAATAAACAATGCCCTTAACTTGCTTTTTCTTTATCATTTGCTTCAATGAACAGCAAGCTCAGGCTTCAATTGAAAACAGATTCTTCCGAACTCAGATCAATCTTTTGCAGCTGGAATTAGCAGCTTTGAAGTTTCCTTTTTTGAGGGCAGTAGTGAAGTCTAATCCCCTTCTTGGGAATGTTTCTGCAATGTTAGATGATTCAGGCGCAAGGATTCTCCTCTTTCACCCCAATTGCAAAGTGACTGCATCTTTTATTTACCCATTCAAACTTGAATGTTTCATTTTTGGTCTAACTCCAAGCCAGGGCCTTTGCAAAACAGAACCCGAATCAATCTGCGTATTAGAAAGCATAACTTCTAAGAAAGGGTAAGTGACCCATAACCATTTTCATGTGATTCACTAATTAATCCAAGGTTGAATATAAAAAAGTCCTTAAATTTAAATTAAATTATCAGTTAAATCTTAATCATTTTATCATAATTAATTGGATTCTTAAATATTTAATTTCGAACTCTTGAGAAATTAATTAATGTTGAATATATATATTTTTATTTTTCAAAATAAAAAGGGCTAAAATAGGAATATTTCTAAAACTTAGACTACTACCATTTTTAGTAAAATTTTTTCGCTTGGCAATAGTAAAAGCATCCTTCAATGCAAAATTAGAGATGATCTCCCAGCCACCTCACTACTTTGCCCTGCAGGGAGAAATTATATTTTAATTGTAACCAAGTAATCCATGCCAATATAAAAAAAATGTTTTAAAGATTTTCTCTGTACTGTTAAAACATTTTAATATAAATCATAATTTAAATGCATTCATAATTAAATTAATACTTTATCTCACATATCTCACGCGTCAATATTAAAAATAATATGATTGTCAATATATATATCTTATAAATAAAAAAAAAACAATTATTTCTAAGATAAGCTTGGGTGAAGAGACAATCCAAATCCATTGCCACCTAATTGCCTTATTTGATTTTTTTTTCTTTTCAAAATTAAAAAAAAAAAGTTAAAAAAAAATCCCAATTGCCAATTGGATAGTGGAATAAGTAACTGGCAACTTGTACTAATATTTTTCCATTTTTCAAATATTTTAAAAGTAAAATATACTACATCGACATTTAGCCTATATTTCAATTGAGAGGACGTGAGAGAAAGGAAATGAAAATTTCAAATCTATTTTTATATATTTTTTAAAAAGTATATATTTTTAGATATTATAATTAAGAAAGAGTACGAAGGTTTGAGAATGAATTACAAATATTAACATTGAAATTATAAATTTATTAAAAATTATTTTTTATAAAAATTATATGAATTAATTAAATTAAATTTTTAAAAAAATATAATTCAAAAGTAAAAGAAACCACTTTTATAAAAGCAATAACAATATGCCTTGGCCAACCCGTTACTCTAGTTTTATTATAAATATCTACT